ATGGTTCGCCTTCTGTAGGTGCATAGAGATCAATGAGTACATATGGAAGCTGCATATTCTCTCTGACCCTCTTTCTTTCTCTCTCTCTCTCTGTTTTAGTGAGGGGAGAGCTTCTCTCTCTGCCTGTTTTTTTTCCCTCCACCTATATAGCCTTTCCAAAGCCCACCCAACTTTCTGCCATTTCCAAGCCCTCTGCAGCTTAGCAGCCAAGATCCCCTTTTCTCTTATTTCCCTATGGTTCAGAGACAATGTGGGTAGGGAAATGAAGAAGACAGTGGTAGAAAGCTGGAGCTTTGCTTTGGAGTAAATCCAGCGACATAAGAATTTGTGTTTGGGAGGGGCAGAGGCCTCCAAGGATGAGGGACATTGCAAGGGGTACTGCTACCTCCCAGCACCAAAGATTGAGCAACTCTCCCTTGAATCCTTGTACTGACAAAGGGACTACAGTGGAAAGATATTTGCTGGTTGGGTAGTTGGAAAATCCTCTTTCAGGGGTGTCTGCAGGGCATCATAAAAACAGCCAAGATGGTGGCCGCGATGGTGTAGTCAAAGTTCCACCCATTTTCCCTGGATGTCCGCGCATAAAAAACCAGGTGGAGCTTTGATTGCACCATCAGCTGTCACCTTGACTTTTTTTTTACCATACCTTGCAGTCACCCTGTCTTAATTGATCTATTCCTGTAACTAATTACTAGATGTGACATTTGCAGCAGGAGGCTGAATTAATCACATTTCAGACATGCCTGCTTTTCTCTCTTGTTGGAGTTATTTGACCTGCCCACAGCATTATGAAAAGCACGTGGGTGTAAACTCAGACAGCTTCCAAAAATGTTTGGGAACATGCACATCAACCAGGGGAAATGGTGTATAAAAATAGCACAATATAAAAATAGGACAGGAAGTTCAGAAGAAGATGGGTAATTCTTTAATGCTAACAAATTGAAGCCAAGTTATATGGCTCTTTTGTTGATGGTTGCGTCTGAATTTTAGAATACCCCCCTCCTTAGTTCCAGCAAAATTTAACTTCTTCTACCTCTGTAGGACTTTTCTGAGCAAAAATGCAATACTGGGTTATTCTAGTATTTATATTTTTAAATATGTGCTCTTTTAAATGTGTGACATATACTGTCTACTATCTTTTACACTGTGTTTTCTTCTACTTAAATTTTGCCTGGGTATGTAGAGCAGGTGGTGAAACCAATAAATAAGAACAGCCAGGAATTGTTCATATTCTTGAATCAGAACTTTGCTCAATACATAAAGGAGGCGTTGATGCTTTTTTCAACTTTTCTGTTGGGCATACTTACTTATCTCTTCTGTTTATATGGCATACGTACACTCAGTGCCAATCACAAACATGGAATTGTTCATTGTAGAACAATATGAGCTTATTGATAATTCTTTGTTGGTGCAGATAGGCAAAACTGTTTTCCAATTCCACTAATAATCTATATGATGAACAAAATTGTGATAGCTTCCCAAATACTGCTCTGATTACTGATCATACACAGGGTTAAGCTCATTTTCCTTCTGTTCTGACCACTCTATTGCATGGCAGTTGGAAGCTGGGTACTTTTACCTTTGCTGTGTTAAACATTAAAGTTGTATATTTTCCAGTTGTGAAACAGTTTGCTGTAGTGACTCATATTCACTCATCTGTAATTTAGCTCATCGTTAATTTTGCAATCTTTAATCTGTTTCTTGAGGCACTGAATTTAGGAAGAGAAATGGGGACTAGTCAGTGTCTATAGTAGCCTTCTGCAGGGTCAAAACGACCATGTTGGAGAAAGCTTCTCTTTAGGATTTTTTTTTTAAAGTCTTGCAGAAAACCTCCTACATGCTCTTCTCATCCTTCTTTTACATCCTATTGAGTAGCTTTCACTTCTGATTTTAGTTAAACACCATTTCTCCTGCCATTCAGAATTAACTTTTTAAGCAAACCAACTTTCCAAAAACAACATTAGAAGTATGATGATAATCATAGTTTGTCACTCTGGATGAGACAATAAATCCAAAGCAAGCATTCTGGACTCCTCCCCACTACACAGAAGGCAAGAGAATGCATGAACATGTTTGCTGAAGCCTCTTGCAGCTCATGTACATTGATGATGGTTAGTGTGAAATGCCACTGCACGCAATATGCAGCTGAGAAAATGTGTTATTCACATGAGTGTGAAAGCCATATATTTTTAAAATATAGCAAGAAAAGGGAATGCAGTTATTTGAAAGGACTGAATTTTCAGGTGGCATTTCTAGATTATTAAATTAAAAGTACATTGGTTTTCCACAGTCCCTTTTGCATAATTCATAAGCCACTGTTATCTGGTTTTCACCCACTGTCTATATTCCTACCTTCTTTCTTCCCACGTCTATGAGCATCCCATAGTATGGCCAGTGCCCTCTGTAGCAGCTTCCTAGCCTCCCTCGTAGTCCTGGCAAACTCACATTCTTCATTGCTCCCTCAGTCTATCCTGCTGTAGGAATGACATTTGGAGCAATGGGTGCACTAAAGGCTGCTTGTCAAAAGTCCATGAAATTGCAGCCTTCATTCTCATGTGCATCTCTGACCAAGCATATGATGATGTAAGAGGAGAGTTTTGGGACTTTGATGAATAAACGTTTTGTTGATTAATATTCTTTCTGAAAGCAAAAATGCAGTGTTCCATGTGATTATGTTTGTAGAACCTAAGTAGAAGCTGTTTAAGAGATTCCACTAAAAGAACAAAATGACTTTTGATGGTCTCTCGCTTTTCTCTACGTGAACTAAGTGGAAGGTTTAGCTGTTTGCCCTGTGCTCGTTGGAAATATCAGTACTGGTTTGAAGCCAAGTGGTACATGGTTGAGAGAAAGACTTAGAATAGGGCTGTGCAATGTGTTGGACTCAAAGGGGGAAAAAGGCTTTGGAATACAGAGTATCTTTCAGCGACTCTTTAAAGCAGCTACGTCTTTTCTCAGGATAATGTGGCTGTCCCCAAATCCCAAGAAAAGACACACTGAGTTTAAGAAGTTGCTGAGAGGGGCTACTTATGCACTCATTTTCTCCCAGAAGCACATTTTCCCCCTTTGAATCCAAAGCACCACACAACTATTATAAAATATTCTCGATTGTTTTCAAAGATGTGGGATCATCTCCTCTTAGCTTCTATTCTGTAAATCTCTCAGGCCAGTTTTGAACACAGCCCAGGTGGTACAATGAAATCAGCATTGAATTTCTGAACCAACATATCTCAAGTTCAAATCACCACAAAGCTTAGGGATTTGACTGTGGCAGGTGCTATCTCTTCAGCCTGGCTGCTACATGTAACCTCCTACATACAGCTTTTAGCTTTGTGGGGGAAAAGTGCTATATAAATAGGTACTATATAATAAATAGTTATTAAAACCACTCAATGTCATTTTTCAAAGGAATAACAGGGATGGCAAAGAGAAGGCGACTGTTCAGACTGATTTGTCTGAGAGATTGCCACTTTGAAAGAGTAGATAAATATAAATTACTCAAGCTTCCTCTTTTCTGCCTCTGATGTACAAAAGCTGCATATTCTACAAAGTCAGGAAGCAATTTCACATGGACTAATGGCCTCTCCAGGCAAAGGAATTGAGCAGCTCTTGATGCAGCTGAGGTACAGTGAAAAAATCAGCAGCAACAATTCTCCTTTTGTCAGGTGTTCTACTTTCTTAGACCCTCCCTTCCTTGACCTGCCCTGTTTTCTCCCTCCAAAGTCTTAATTATACAAGTTGATTTCAATTTTTTCAAGCTAAAGGCTATCATTGGCCTCTGCAGCTGAATTCCCATAAGTAGGCAGAGCCAGGAAAGAGCCGAAGGGAGGCGCAAGGCCAAAACTGTATTTCAGTTAAGTTAAATATATTAAACAAATTTTAATGAAATGCCATTAACACTCTTCCCAATGTATTTAATAATGTCCTCCTGTCTCTTTAGGAATGACAATTTAGTGCAAAATTTTTGCTATGTTGAGCACCACAGTGAGGGGTGTTTATCTAGTGCAGTGTTTTTCAACCTTGGCATCTTAAAGATGTGTTAAGCATGCTGGCTGGGGAATTCTGGAAGTCCATACATCTTAAAGTTGCCAGAGTTGAGAAACACTGAGCTAGCCACCTCAGTCTGATTCATGAACATTTCTCAAGCTCTTGGCTTTAACAGAAAGCAATTTCACTCAGTTTGTTAAGGTTGAGATTTTTTAGCAGGAGTATTGCCTGCACATAAAAAAGGGCATGCCCTCAATTGTGTGGTTGCGCATACCATCTTGACTTTTCACATACACACACACACACAAAGACCACGGACACCCATGTTTCTCAGTCGTTTGCTAACTGCTGGTGTGGGATCTGACACAGATTTATCTGTTTTCTTAACTGATAAATGAGAGATGGCCAGCTGGCCATCTCTCTCTAGTTCTGAACATAACATCACAAAATCTGTTGTTGAAGGTTTTCTAGGAGAGGCACCTAGAAGGGGGAAGGGGCAATGGACAGTGCCAACCCAGAAGTGCCAGGGACTAAGCACAGGTTGCCCAGAAATCTGAACAAGAGGAGGGAGAGCACACACACACACACCCTATGGGAACCTGTCTCCAAGCACAGTGGTCCCACCAGTTCTGTTTCCTGCTACTCAAATTGACCTGCTGCTAACCAACGCAGGCATCAGGTTGTTGTCTAATTTAAATAACACTGTTGACCACAGTACAGGTTTTTGGGCTATGTACATCTTGGAATTTCAATTTGTGCATCTCTAACTTAAAAATAAATCAAATTGTGTTCAGTAACTCTTTCCAGTAAGCAAGGAGAGGATTGCAGATTTATTTTCAAAAGCTGGATTTTCCTTCTAGCAGGAAAGTGGTTTTGCAGCAAACAGGAAGCAACTGGGCAAACTAGCCAACTGAAATTCAGGTGCTTGAAAGTAACAGTAGCTCTGTATGTATGTCTGGTGCTGCAGTTTTTGTGCATTAATTCATAATTATTGTTCTATGTATTTTTATTTTCAGAGTGCGTTTAGTAGAAAGAGGATCCCCCCATAGTTTGCCTCTCATGGAATCAGGAAAGGTAAAAATGTAAACATTCTTAACCATCTGAATGGAGTGATTAAACAAATATTTTAAGTTGGGGATATGTGCATGCATACATATGATTATCTACATAAGTGCTTGTGTGAGAGCTTGCAGAATCATGCATATTAATAACTTACTAATTAACAGCACCTGAATTCTAGAAACTTAGGGCTTGTGAAACTAGAGTCAGTTCATTGGAGGATGTATGATTTCTTGATATGAAGGATCGATATTTGCACTGTTCTCTTGATGGTATCTCAAGCATGGCCTTTGGTCTTCTGGGAGTTACCTCTAAACCACCTGAACTTCCTCAAGTTGGGAAGGGCTTATTTATATCAAAACCTTTCATCCATTTGTAGCAATATTATCTATGTCACATGTGGGCAAACTGTGGTCTGAAGGTCACATGTAACTGTGAGAGTCTAGTGTATCCTGTTTTTCTTTCCATACTATCCCAGGAAGAAAGAAGTGCCTCTTTTTCTCAACCCTCCACGATAGAAAAGCTGAATGAAAACTATGTGAATGAGATAAAATGTATGAATGAGAGGAAGGAAACTTTGTGATTAGGGGGAAATGTGAATGGGAGGATGTAGATGGGAGAAAAAATGTGAGAATGGAGGTCACTATATGGGTGTGGAAGAAAGAGAAGAAAAGAGTGTTTGATGCTATGTAGCTTCTATCTTCCTGAGACAATAGACACATTATGATGCGTGTGTGTGTGTGTGTGTGTGTGTGAGAGAGAGAGAGAGAGAGAGAGAGAGAGAAAATATATGTGGAAAACAGAATAATTGGATGATGAAGAGCGAACAGAAAATGTGGGGTTTGGAGCTGATCACCACAATTCTCACCACCACCACCCCACTATCACATTTTGAAAAGAATGTGGACCTGAGCCCCAGAAGACCCATCTCTGGTCTATGCTAATTGGCAATAATTCTTGAGGGAACTCCTTGTAAGAAATTGCATCTGGATCCTTATATATGCAGAATATGTGCTTACCGTATGCTTTCCACATCATTAACACTGCTGGTGGTGATCATTTAGGGCACAAGTGAAAACACCAAGACTGATGACTCATCCTCCTCAGTGAAGAGCTAATTCACAATAAGAAGTTTACAAAGCTGAGTGTCGTGTCACTTTCCTCTGAGAAATTACACCAACCTCTTTCCTTTGTGAAGCCTGCTGTGTTTCTTAAAGACTTCAGAAATGAGCTAGGAAAGTTCTGTTCTTGTGTGAAACAATATAGACACAACCTGGCTTCTGACCAAATATGACTCATTTTGTCTTTCAATAGATCCTCCCCGGAGTTCGTATCATTATTGCTAATCCAGAAACAAAGGGCCCCCTAGGCGACTCTCATCTTGGAGAGGTGAGTCACACGCTGTGCCAAGGTCAGTACTGAATGACAGGAATTGATTACAATCCAACTCCTTTTTCTCATAGCATTATTTGGGCAGCATATGGCAAACAGCCAGGTCTAGCAGGTATGTGTCACACAGCTTTATGTAGGTGTGTGGAATCAGTGGTAGGCAAGTTAGTAACTACTTTGCATTGTCATAGTTAAGAACCATTAATTCCTTTTCTGAGTTTGCTCCCCCACTCCCCCCACTCGATATATTCAGTCAGCTGCTACTCCAGGAAAATATCTCTTGTTCCTGGAGCATGTGATTGCAGATGAAGACTTTTGCATCTTTTTTTGTCCATTTTTGGCAGTATCCCACTGCAAAGGTTGTTGGGTGGCTGTTGCTTACTGCTGCTTAAAAAAAAAAAAAAGATTCTGCCTGAACTCTTGTGTTATGCCAAGTGAGAATGCCAAGATCTTGCAAAATCTGGCAGTCTTGAGACACCCTAACCATTGGGACCCACATCAGAGGCTACAGTGACTCTTAGAACTTAAGTTATCTGAAAGTGAATCAGTGTTCTTTTTCGTGAAGGGCTGTATTGGAAAGACCAAAGGTTTAAAATTGTCTGTAGCAAAATGTTGTCAAAAAACTTTCCTCCAATTAAACATATTTTTTTTCTGCTCCATGTAGATATGGGTTCACAGTGCTCACAACGCCAGTGGATATTTTACAATCTATGGTGATGAATCCCTACAATCAGATCATTTTAACTCAAGACTTAGTTTTGGAGACACACAAACTATCTGGGCACGAACTGGGTACCTGGGATTCTTGAGGAGAACAGAACTCACAGATGCAAATGGGGGTAAGTTCTCTGGTTAAGTTTTGAAAATGATATATCCAGCACAGCTTTTGGAGAATGGTACATAGTTGCTGTACATTCTGCAGTCTTTTCTCAGTCATTTTGTTGTTTACTTCAGTTTATGCAGCCATACCCAGGCTGTAGAAAGGATGATGTGCTTTTGGTAGGAGAAGTCATGATGCCATTACAGCAGGCGTGGACCCTGTTCTTGCATTCTCCAAAATCTCTGATAGCACTTTCATGAGGTACACAACATGTGTAATGCAGGGGTGTATTGTCTGAGACTATTGCTTTGTGTGCCTCCCCAACAAAACTCAAAGAATTGCCCCAAATTGTAATTTTCAATGTGAGATAAGAATATAATTACTAAACAAGCTGTCTTGGGGAATAATAATGTTAACTCTATTAAATTTTCATTAAATGTAAAATCAAATCAAATCTAGTTTGTTTCCAGGCCACATTTATGTTGTTTCAGAGTTCAACCCCCAGCATGCCAGTCAAAAACCAAGTATGGGCCTCAGAAACCAAGTTGTGAAAGTCCTAAAACAGGCATAACAATTTAATCCTTCTCCCTCCAAAACAGAAATAATAGAAATCATGGCTCCATCCAAATGTGTGACATAGTTCCACCCGCTTTCCACGGCTGCCTTGCTTATCACAGCTTTCATCACCCTAAAAGGGTATTAAGTGTGAGAGGTGCCTAGCAAAAGGTTGCTCACCCTGAGTTAGTGATATATGGAATACAGTAAAACAATTTAACAGATTATTTGAGGATAAAGGGGTATACATGAAACCCAATTGTCTATAAATGATGTCATTTACATCATTTTTGTCACTTTAGGTCATGATGTCGTAACACAGGTGATTGAGGTGATATGAATCAGATGGACTACTTTGGATAGAGTGAAATTTGTGATTTTGGGATATTTGGATGAAAAAATTGTTTCATCTAAAGTTGATAAACCGAAGTCCATTAAACCAAGCATTTACTTCATATGCACTTTCTTTGTTGGGCATATGAATTGGGCTGTTAATAAGTATTTATCAGATTTTCTTATAATTCATGTTGAAATGGCCAAGATCAATATACATTTTTAAAATTAATCTGTACATGGTTATGGAAGTGCTGGTTTTGAAAACTAACTATAATGAGATGTCAGGATGTTTTCATGGGTACATCTTTTCTTTTTCCCAGATGTTAGTGTGGGTATTTGCTTGTGTGTTTAATAATTTAAAATATTTATATACCATTTCCTGTTTTAAAAATCACAAATAGCATCCAGTTAAAACAGTTGGAGTGTATGTGTGCACAAGTGTCTGTGTATCATCCACTGATAATTGACCAGAAGTTAATGCACAGGGAGGTATTCTCTCATGGCCCCAGAATTCAGACTTAATATTTAAGATGGTGCAATTGTATAAACTTAGTCTCTGACCTTAATGGCCCTTTAGTGAGTGCAGTGACTCTATCTGTCTGTGTATCTGTCTGTCTCTATCTCTACCTCTGTATCTATAATATATGTTATTTGAGGGGCCTGGCTCATTCAGTTGGGTAAAGGCCCTAGTTCTCTGTGTCAAGAGTTCTGACCCAGTGACACCATTGGCTTTATCGGCTGACTCTTTCTCTGAGATCATCTGGGGAAGCCCTTTCGTTCCTCAGCTCCTGAATGTAGGTAGGCAAACACTTAAAGTCGGGGGTGTTAGCAAAGAGGCACCTGACAGGAATGCTTTGCCCGTTTTGCAGATTTCAGATCCCAGGAAAAGGAAAAGATTTGCCCAGTTTCTTTTAACAAGTACTTGTCTTACTTGGTTTCTGTGGCAATGACTGCCATCTTTTTAGGAGGGTAGTAAAAAGTGTTCTTTCTCAGCTAGATTTTTTTTGAATATATGTGTGTACGTATGTATTTTCTATGACTGCCCATCTCAGTTGCATGACTCTGGGTGGCTAACAATTAAAAACAAAATGAAAATAATAAGCTAAAGTTATAAATAACATAAAATAGCAGCCAGGCAACAACACATAACAAACGTCCACTCTCTCCATACAGCCAAGGAATGGGCTTACCCACTGTACCAGGGCCCCAGGCTTGATGGCAGAACCCAATCTTCAAAGCTTTGTTACCTGTAATTGGTTCTTATTGAACCTTATTCTTATTGGTTCTGCTTAAACCCTAACTAATTTTGTGTGAGATTATTATAAATTTATTTTGTTTCTGTTTAACTGTTTTATGGGCCATAATGAGCTGCTTTGAGAAAAAAAAAATCAAGAAGGAATGGAGGTGGAAATAAATACTATGCTGTTTTAATTGCTGTTTTTCTTTTTAATCAAGTCCCATTTTTTTTAAAAAAATGTATCTTTCATCTTGATTATGTAATCTTGAAACCATGTATAAGAAAGTGGAACAGAACCAGCCTACCCCACCCCTAATATAAATACATTCTCCAGAGAGATTGAGAGACTACAGTTCCCAGAATTCTAAGCCAGGTTGGGAAAAGCTTTTCCTAAAGAAAAGGACTGTAAAATCAGTGTCAGATAACTTTTATGTTACTGATGTGGTTTTGTATAATGAGCTATTTCTGTTTTCCTTTTCCCTCTTTTGGTACCAGAACGACACGATGCACTTTACGTGGTAGGTGCATTAGATGAAGCCATGGAATTACGAGGAATGCGGTATCATCCCATAGATATAGAGACGTCAGTAATTAGAGCGCACAAAAGCATTACGGAATGGTAAGTATTTGGTACAGGTTTCGCTGTGTAAATGCCTGCATTTGTATGAACAATGCCATACCTCTCTTTGGACTGGATCCAACTTCACTTGGATCAGATTCACCTGCACAAGAATAGAATTGATATGGGATGGAGAAGTATAACTCGGTCTGTCTGGGTCCTTACCTATCTGGTTCTAGAGTGTCAGGTCTTGGAACAAGGTCCTAAAAGAGGGTTCCTCATCACACGAACCCTGTAAGTGCAATTCTCCCTTTTCTAGATTACCATATCTAGGCTGCAAAAGCTGATGGCCTGGTGATTTGCAGCTCAGATATTGTTCAGGTAGTCCTTGAGTTACTACTATTTGTTCAGTGACCATTCAAAGTTACAGAGGTGCTGCACGAAGGGACTTATGACAAGTCCTCAAAGTTCCAGCTGTTGCAGTGCCCCTGCGGTCATGTAAACAAAATTTGTGTGCCTGGCAACCAGTTTGCAGTTATGACCAGTTGCAATGTCCTGTGGTCACGTGATTGCCATTTGCGCCTTTCCCTGCTGGCTTCCCCCAAGCAAAGTCAATGGGAAGCTAGCAAGGAAGGTCGCAAGCTGCTGGGGTAAGTCTCCCCCACCAGGCCTTACTTCACTCACATGCTCCACACCCTCCTTCCCCCCTTCGCTTGCACACACTCCGTGCCCTCTTTCCCTGGCCTCCTTGTGCTTGCACACACGTACCCACATACTTCACGCCCACTTTCCTTGGCCTCCCTGTGATCACACTCACCCTGTGCCCCCTTTCCATGGCCTCCCTACAGTCACACGCACGCACGTACCCTATGCCCTTTCCATGGCCTCCCTGCAATTACACACATGTACACACTTACCCTGCGCCCTCTTTCCTTGGCCTCCCTGCACTTGCACACACACACCCTGTGCCCTCTTTACCCAGCCTCCCTGCAGTCGCATGCACCCCCACTCTCATTCCCCAGCCTTTCTGAGCTCCACACCAAGCATCCCCTTCCCTGACTTGCGCACAGCCTGCGCCAGGCCTCCCAAGGCCTCCCCCATTCCCCTGTGGCACCCCCGTGCTCCTTACTTGGGACTCCCTCTGCTTCCTGCTTAATGACGCGCACGTCTTGGGTTATGATGACAACCAGGACTGCCTGGATTGCTGTCGCTAAGTGATGCAGTCACGTGACATCACACTTTATGACTGCATCACTTAGCAACGGCAATCCCGGTCCCAGTTGCAGTTGTAACTCAAGGACTACCTGTAGTCTTTCCTTTTTGGAGACATCTGCAGGATTGGAAGCTTTTATCATTGTAGGAGAAAATCCAGATCTGGACCCTAATCCACACAAATTTATCTGTATAAACAGTATCGCTAGCTCAGCTAAAAAATCAAGCACTTGGAATTCTCAGGTGCACTGGATGTAATAGGAGCTAACGAGATAAGTGAAAATGTTAACTGCAGGAATGCAAGACTACACACAGGAGAATTAAGAATTAATGCTGAGAACTCAGGGTCTTTAGATAGCTATGGCTATGGTAAAATAGCAACTTTAGTCACGGTTGTTAGGCCCCTTTGTCTAATCCAAAGGATCCATTGTATAGAGGGTATTTGCCTCAATCTTTTCATCCCTTATTATACTTTCCAGTGCACCTATGAATTAATCCAGTCAGGAAGATTAACCTTATCACATTTAATACTATATCCTGTTACATGACTAATGGCTATCTATAGCTATTATTTTAACCATCAAAAGAATAATTTGCATAAGTGTATAAAGCGGGCTTGTAACTCCACCCCTCTTTAGAGTTCTTGATTCCACCTATGGGACCGAATCTGTAAATGTATCATTTAGTGCTTCAGTGTAATTTTGTCCTCACCTTCAGTTCAAACATACCCCAAGGAAAATTCTCCTTTATCATCAGGACACAAACTCCAGCCCTTTCATATATGCGCATGACATCACAGTGGATATCCAAAAGAGGCAGAGCTTGTGTCTTGATGGCATGATGCTACTTTCATTATTTGACCCCTCCCCACCCAAATGCTTCGGGGTGCATCGTAACACTGAGAGGCCAGCCATACAGAATGCACTTACTACCATTCCTTCTCTCCCTGAGCCATACAGCACAGGTTCACAAACTTTCTCAGTTCACAGTGCTCTTAGCATCTTAGTAATTTTTCGCAGTGCCTCTAGCTGTGTGCTTAATAAATGGCTCTGTAATAGTAAAATGTCTTGCAGTATCCCTGTGAGTTTGCTGTGGTGCTCTGGGGCGCCATGGCACACAAATTGGGAAACACAACCGTATAGGTTTAAAAGTAGGCGCCCTGAAAATTATGGGACCTCACTTAATCACAATAAACTTAAGTTCATTGCTTTCAGTAAAATAAGTCTAGCCAGACCGAGGGGCTGTGGTTTCTAGGCTCCCCAGATTTGTGGACTTTCAATCATTAGTTCTGGATGGGGTAGCAATTTGAGGGTCCTCCTGGACTCTCAACCCCTGCTCAAAGAGCAGATGGTAGCCCTGGCCAGGAGGGCCTTTGCATAAATCTATCTTGTGTGGCAGTTGTGCCCACTCCTGAGTCAGGAGGCCCTGCTCATGGTCATTCATGCCTTGGTCACCTCCTGGTTGGATTACTACAGTGTATTTTACATTGTGCTACCCTTGAAAAACCCTTGGAAGTTGCAACTGGTTCAGAATATAGAGGCGTGGCTAATTATGGGCACAGCATGGTATTCCCATGTGACACTATTACTTCATGAGCTACACTGGCTTCCAGTAGGTGCAATTTGAAGTGCTGGTTATTACTTACAAAGACTTTCATGGTGCAGGACCAAGTTATTTGTGGTATCACCTATTTCTTATTATTTTGGCCCATTCCAAAAGATTGAACAAGATGGCCATGGTCTGAGTCCTCTCTCTTAAACAGTGTCATCTAATGGGACCCAAGAAACATGACTTCTCGGTTGCAGTGTCTGCTCTGGGGAATAGCATGCTGTCTGAGATCCAGATGGCCCTGACCGTGCCGGCCTTTCATAAGGCACTGAAGACCTGGATTTTCCCTCAAGGGCCAGGGCACATGAGGCTGTCTGGAACATGATGCGTATTTAGGTTTTTTGCCTGATATCCTTATTTGTTGTTTTTGTTAGCTGCCCAGAGTCACATTTGTAAATTGGGCACCCATATTAATTGAATGAATGAAAGAGGTGCTTTAGTCATTTATGAGGATTTCAAAAAGTCATGTAGGTATTCAGAAGAGCAGAAATGCCCACAGGATTGGTGATTTAAACAGCTCATCAAGGTTTCAGGTACCAGGAATATATTTATTTTTCATTTGCATCACCATTTCCATTCAAGAAAGTGACTTGCATATTTTTCCAAAAGAGGCGGTTGAGAACAATTTCAGAAAAGAATATAGCCACCATAAGCTCTACATTACAGATTAAACAAATTGGTTTACATTTTAACATGAACTGATGAATTCAATGCGTACATTGCTTTTTTCTTTTCTTTTTTTTTGCTTTATTAATGAAAGATGGAAAACGTTTTACCAAACCAAATAGTTTAATAGAATCACAAATATAAACACCGTCTATGATATTAAGGTTTTTTTAGTATAAATAAATAAATAAATTGCCTGGAAATTTATGTCACTGAACAACTCCAGAAATTTGACCAAACTGATTGAAAGTCCTCTTCTTTGCCCCTCCATAAAAAGGTCCATTTCAAAGTTGATGTAGACATATATTGTTAATCCATTTTTACAGGTTAGAATTATCCTTCCAAAGTAGCACAATGATTATTTTGGCTACCCTCCCATGCATGGAGTGTATTGATATAATTTTCCTCATCACCTTCCAGTGCGGTGTTTACCTGGACAAACTTGTTGGTCGTTGTCGTCGAACTGGATGGATCAGAGCAAGAAGCCTTAGACCTGGTTCCTTTGGTCACCAACGTGGTTCTGGAGGAGCACTATCTGATTGTTGGGGTCGTGGTGGTGGTGGACGTTGGGGTCATCCCTATCAACTCCCGTGGAGAGAAGCAGCGAATGCACCTACGAGATGGATTTTTGGCAGACCAGTTAGATCCGATCTATGTGGCCTATAACATGTAGTCTTGTATCTTTAAGGCTTCCATGGACTTGACTCTAGATGTATAAAACACTTTTTTAATGTACACTAAACAATGTACAAGTGGCGCTCTTCAGAATGGAACTCTTTCTCTTAGGACTTATTGAAGCACTCATTATGGGCAGGACATAAAAATGTGAAATGTGTTTCTTTTACCACTACATTTTAGCACAGAAGGACTTTGGGGTACTGCCTTCGGTTTGTTGGAAAGCCCATTACTAGACTTTTTAAAATAAGATTATTTTTTGCTTATTGGGATGAATACTGCTTTCTAAGTAATATGGCTTTGTATCTTATGTTAAACTGAACTAGCTATTTTTTTTTAATCTGCCCCTACCTACCTACCACCCACCCACCCATGGATATTTTTGAACAGCTCATAATATGACTGAATTGTTTTGGTTTGCTTGTTTTTAAAATGTCCATATAAAAACAAACTTCTCCCACTATGGATCCATTACTAATTTTAAGCCATTTTCTATTCCATTCGCTTAGGAAGCTACATTGAGGTACGAGAAAAATACTCAAAACAGCACCTTCTCAAATTAGAGTTTTTAACAGCTTTCTCTCCTGGAAATGCTGAGGTTCAAAGGTGAAAAGAGCCTTTGATTATTAGTGTTAGAATGAACAGATCTTTATAAATAAGGTGTATTTCGGCAATGAACTTGCAGATATCTTTGTACTAAGCTAAAAAGATAAAATAAGTTAACTACTTCTGTAATTATGTACAAAACCTTTAATTTATTTTGATCTCTTTAGAAGTATAAAAGAGAAACATTCAAGAATATTAAGCTCTTGTAATGTTTGCTAATATAAAAACAAAAGGTTGTATTATCTTGAGTGGATAGTATCACATCAAAAATATATATATATGAAATATAAATTCACTAATGACAAAAAAAGAGTTTAAAGTTTTAAAAGGATGCAGTACTCGTCACTTGCATGGTGTCTCTTTTCCCACTGTAGATAATAAACATTATTCACAAACTTTTAGGACAAAAGCAGTTCTGAATTGCTCAGTATCCCCGCCTAAAAGAATCTTCCATATACCAGCAAGTGAAAATTTGCTGCCACTTGTAGGGCAGTGAGTTGATTTCAAGGTCGCAGTCTTGCTGTCTTGCTTGCACAAAGGGCAGGCGGAGGAGCGCCTCCTTTCAGGGGCTGGGGGGAGCCCCCCGGTCCCCCGGCTGGCGGTTCCCCCGAGCTGCCTCCTCTAGCTCTCCGCAAGGGCCCTTGCGCATCCGCCCTGCCCTCTCCTCCACCATCCTCTTCCTCAGATGGTGCCGCAGCCCTCGCGAGGACAGCCTGAATTGGAAGGGCCCCGACGTCTTGGCGAGTCTGTCGGGAAGAGCCGAGGCAGCGGGAGGCCCCTGGCAGGACGACTAACGCAAAGTCTTATGGGAACCACAACAGAACCTGCTTTTGATGACTCTTCCCAGGGCAGGATCGACTGGCGGCCAAAGACTTGAACAGTGCACTACAAAGGATTCTTTTCTTTACTGTGGAGGTGACCATAAATGTTGGCATGTATGTTCATACACTTCTTAGATGTTAGAAAAGGCAGGTCTGAAGTATAGCACTGTTTTCCTTAGCTGCATAATATTGTTGCACAAAATTGGTCATCTTTTTTTGAGTTCATCTTTTGTTTTTGTTAATACTTTTTACTGATTTTTTTTCTTGTGGTAAAGATAATTTCTGTTTGCTTTTTGGTGGTCATTTTGCACAAGATTTTTTGTAAAAAAAGAAAAGAAAAGAGTTTCCCCACTCATCTCTCTGCTGTCTGGTTTAGTTTGGGCAATGGGAGAGTGCTGATCCATCTATTTAACACTTTGTAGAAAGTTGTTGTTTTGAAAAAGTCTCTTATTTGTTATTAGACAATAACCAGAAACCTCCTCTAAACGATTTGGCTTAGCTTGGTGCAACTGCTAACGTGTGTCAAACTGAGGAACTGAAATTCAAATGTTGCAATGCCATCCTTCAGTTCCAAAGGGAATCTGCCGAGAGAGCGGGGGGGGGGGGAGGATTATGAATCACAGCTGCCTTTCCCTCCCTCCCTCCCTCTTGCTCGCCTTTTTGCCATCTCAAATTTCATTGGGTAAACCGCCTCTTCCGTTTCTGCTTTTTGCCATCTCAAATTTCATTGGGTAAACCGCCTCTTCCGTTTCTGCTTTTTGCCATCTCAAATTTCATTGGGTAAACCGCCTCTTCCGTTTCTGGTTTCTTCCTTGTCTTCTTTGTTGATTTCATTTTCCTATAGCAGTCACCAGGTCAACCAGTGTCTGATAAGAGGAAGAAGATTAAACAGGAGTAAGAACGCCTTTTTTTGGTGGTTCCTTTTTTTCACAGGTTCAAAATAATTGCTAACATTCATTAGAATATGCATGCATAAGAGAGTTGCAGGACAAGCACCGCGGGATCTTTATATCACATATAGGACGGAATTATTTTGATCCACCTTTGCAGGTTTCGTTTGGTTCCAGTCAAGCCTTTTTTTTTTCTTTAATGGGAGGGAGTACTTAAAGAAAAGGGACATTTTTTAGCTTGCATGTACAATACAGAGCATCTCACAACTGCAGCCTCTTTTTGCATTTTAAGTTTCAGTTGAACCTTTTCCAGATTTTCTTTGCCCTGTGAATACTTCTCATGTTCCAAAGACCACTCCATAGTGAAGCCTTCTGTCACATCATTCCATGTGGGCGCATCAAAAGTACGATCCGTTTTTATTCCTTTAGAAGGTCAAGTTGCCGCAAAGTTCAGACAACTTGATTATGAGCCTAATTGCCGTGTATGAACTAACGTGTGATGTCCCTGCTACTGCTCACGCAAATCCAGCTGTCGCTTTGTGGAAGCATCACTTTTAACCTTCACTAAGACAACTTTCCACTCCTGGGGAAGTGAGAAGGACTGCAATGCAGTCGTACAGCACAGTTAATCACTGATCGCTTCGGCAACCTGCCATTGCTGGTTGTTTCAACTCTAAACATTAAGACGGTAAATGATGAACTGAATATCCTAGTTTTGTCATGCAAGTGGAGAGGAAAGAAAGACATGTAACCATCAGATTCAGCAATAAGGAAAGATTGCTCTGTATTAGAAATTGTACTGTAGATAAACCATTCATGAGAATGTATAAACTGTTTGTCTTGTGACCTTGTGCTTTTGGAGTCAGACAAAATCATGTAATCAACCTGATGCACACCTGAAAAGAAAGAGAAAAAAACCCCAAATGAACGAAGGAGGAGGGTTCACAGTGAACATTGAAACACAAAACTAAGCAACAGGAGCAGATTCCTCATGGTGCTCGTTTATTATATATATTTAATCCTGCTTGACACTTTACCCAAGGGAAGACTGTCCCTTTTATCAGTTGAATGTTAGCAGCGTTATTTCATAGAGTGTGGTGACTGGTTAGAGACATCCATGTAACTCAGCCAATCACAGTTCCAAAAAAAAATTTTTATGTGCAAACAAACAGCAACCTTCTTGTATGTTAAAACACCAGTACGCTTTGTACATCTGTGATAACGCCTGTTTTATATTCAAATGAACGAATAAAAGCTTTTATTTTTGTTGCTCTGAAAATAATTGTTTTTTGTTTGTTTGTTTGTTTAATTACTAAAAGGGTTCTGTCGGTTTTTAAAGGTTTTCCAGAGCTCTGCCTCACCACGCATATTTTCCTGATTTTTTTAAAAGGCACAACTTTTAGTTGTTTTGAAATAATTTCACATGTGATAAATATACCCCAAAGGCAAATATCCAATTTATGGGTTGCAAATATAGGCTGGATTTAATTGTGCATTTAAGACAAGTTGGTGAGCTAACATATTCTTCTGATTTTATATATACACGCACTTTATTTCTTGAGTATTTTTCAAGGTGTCTTGACAAATAGTAAAAAATATTAAAACATTAAACCATCCAATAAAATCACAGTGTAAAACTGAAAGCGTGAAAGTTCAGCAGGGAGAAGGAAAAAAACCAGAAAATTCAAGGTATTAATGTATAAATGCTAAGATTGCAACCAATAGAAGAGCAGCCAGCTTAATGCCTTAACAGCCTGACTGAAAACCATTTTTGGTGGGACGAGATAAGGTCTTGTCCAAAGACTAAGGTACTCAGAAGGCTAAGGTATTTCCTGGCCATTGCATCATTTCATCTAATACAATATTTTTTAAACGTGGCAACTTGAAGATGTATGGACTTCAACTCCCAGAATTCCCCAGCCAGCATGAGTGGAAGTCCACACATCTCCAAGTTGCCACGTTTGAAAAAAACTGATCTAACAGAATTACCAGTGTTCCTTAATGAATGCTAATTCTGAATTAGGATTGTATTTGCTCTCCTTACTCATGGTATTCCCAAAAAGGTCGAGTATCCTTCCTGCATAAACTGCAAATGCAATGCGCTCACTCTGTAAGCATACACTAGCAGAGTTAAGCAGGCCACAGACCCGTAGCTTGGAGATAGAGCACATCTGCATGCTTAAGGCAGCCCATATTAAATACTTGGCATTTCAAGGCCATAAAGAAAATCACCCTCGTCTAGATAGACCATTAGCCCAGAATAAGAAGGCATTTCCTGCATCATTCCTCTTTCTGAAATGTTTTAGAGTAAACCGATTAATTCAATGTCTAGGTTGCTTTTTTTCTTTATAAATGAAAAATAGAAATTTATCGTCAGAGTATTCTTTTACATATGTGTTCCTGCTAAATGTTTTCCAATTGTTCCCCAAGTGAGAGTGTCAATATTTATACTTCCATTTGACAAGTGTTGTTTTCTTTCAGCATTTGGTGCCCAACAGACAATATTCAGAAGAATGTGACACTGATGTAAAGTAATATTTAATGTTAAATAGCAATGGAATTTGTTGAGCACAAATGTAGGAAGTCTTAAAAAACAGATTTCCAGCTGTACAGTTTAGAGCTGAGTCCAGCTTTTCAAAACTCTCCACCAGGATTTGTTGCTAAGAGATTGGGGGGGGGGGGGGGGGAGGAATCAGCAGCTTCTCCACAGGATAGGGCTGTTCTTAGCAAGGAGGGT